CGAATCAATTTAATGTCATTAATATAAGCTGTCAAAAGAAGCGGAAAATGATAAATATTAACTGATTCCAATGAACTTGTATTGAAATAATCAACAGCAACATTAACAGGAATGCTATTAAATTTATAAACCTTATTCAAAATCTTCACAGTTTGTTCGTAAAATTTATGCAGATCTCTGGTTCCAAGGTACTTAAAGGTATTATTTTTTTGACTGTAGACATTATCAGAACTGAGCCAATCCAAGAGTAACGATAATGAATTATTTGTGGACAGACAAAAGACTTTTGTTGCATTAGAAAGCGTTTCATTTGCGCATAAAGCATTGAGTTGGTCAACTCGTCTGTTAACAAAAGCAGTGAATAGCGGGTCTGGTATACGTGAATCCTCATACTCGTAAAGACTGTATAAACTTTGTGCAAAGTCCTCTTCTCGCTTTGGTAAGGGTATTGACACAATGAACACTAAAACAAAGTAAAATTGAAAAAGATATCAAAAGTGAATTGAGAATTGCTAAAAAAATTAACAACTTACATGTTAAGAGAAGTCCAATCGTATAATTCATTGTAAAAGCTTCAAACCAATAACAAATATTGAAATAATCAATGAAAGGGATTTTGTAATTGAATCGTTGTTTCTAATTTGCTTAATCAATGAAAACTTGCCCAAAACACTGAATTGAATGTATTATATTGAACCGTCTATTGATGTGTTTTAACCATCAATTGTATAATAAGCTCAATATAAAGATAGCAATTTCACATTTCCAATTTTATTCACACAATTGTGACTTTCACATCAACAACACTGAATTGAATGAATTTTAAACTTCTACTTTTATACTTTTGCTCAATCATGATTTAATATCTTTTTCCTTAATTGTCTTGCTTATTTTGTTATTAAAAAGAGTTATCTCGGAAAAATTATCATGTAAGTCATCAATAGAGAATCCGTTCGCTATTTTTTCATTGATGTTAGCTAATATAGTCTCATTATTCTGTCTATACTATCGATGATTGTCCTTCAAATTCGGAATGAGAACAATTGAATGCAAAAGAAAAAACTTTATAATACTTGAAAGTTTTGATTGCCACTTGATGCAAAAAACTGTTGAATTTGTTATCAAATGTGCTCAGATTGAATATTTGTTTATAAAATTATACAATCTGAGCAATCTATTAATAATACCTATATGAAAGTATCTGTATTTAAAACTCATTTGCCTCCGCTCAACCTAGTGACTGTTGACCATGACCATTCTGACTTCAAATGAGTTTAGCATAACCAAAATAACGTCCGATTGGCTTATCAGAATCAATATGCAGATATTAATTGAACGTTTCCAATTTTATTAAATCACTTGTGACTCCATCACTTAATTTTAAGTGGTGATTTGAGTCAATCTATTAGTGTAATCTAATGTTAACCATCAAATGCTCAGGAGTGTTCGCTTAGATGAATCAGTCAGTGAAATTTGTTTCTTAAATGATGACATCAGGATGCACACTTTTTCGCACCATTCGGCAAACTGAGATCGCGTCCATTCAAATTTGTGATCATAGTGACGAAAAGTCAGTTCCTTTTTACCAAAAACCACATTGAACACACACAAACATTCATTCAAACACAAGTTATAGCATCTAAACCAATCAATCGAGGGTCAGGTTTGCAAATATCACCTTCGTAAATAAATATATCTAGCTTGAACTCTCGACCAAGAACATAATCACAGGCAACTGGTTCAATCCTCCGATTAGCATATTCCAACACAAATCTGTCCCTGTCAACGGCGATTATTTTCTCAACATGTTTTATTGTTTTGACAAACCTCAGAAGATTACCTTCTGCACAGCCCAGATCAGCAACAGATTTGATAGGTGTTGAGTGATTCGCAATTGCTTTTACCACTGCATCATAACGTTGTAAATAAAGTGGTGGAGTAAAAATGGTTGGAGTGCTTTCCAAAGCTATTTCCTTCTAGTCCACTACTGGTACTTCAACAGCCATAAAGTTAACTTTCCGTAAAAATAGGGATGTTGATAAATTGATAACTGCAGCAAGGTTAAATCAAAAAAGGTAGTTAAAGTTAATTGAAAGGCTCAAAAAAACTACAATTAATTACTCAAACTTATTCATAAACTCACCACAATTATTCAGTGTATGAAATTTGACATAATCAGAAGCAAAGAAATACAAAATACAGATTGTTGAAACTTATTTTATAATTTAAAGTAAAATTGAATTAAAAGTCAGAAAGCAAGAAAATTAGGTGCCACAAGCTTTGACTCTTGTTTATATCGATTCTTCCGATAACTATTAATTAGATCGGACCACATTCCCCACAATGACTTGCAAATGTGGCAACAGCTGATGAGAAGCAATCATTGTCCATGTCTTGGTCACTAGAAATCCATAATTTATTTATTGTAACAATAACATTACATTATTACATATTATTATAACATTATAAATAATAGTCATCGATTAAATGCTGTTCATTAAACTATATTCAGAGATAAAACATTTCAATCAGTGAATTGAACATAAACAATGAAAATATTGAGGATGGATTAGCAACACTTAAAACTTCTTAAAAATCATCTTGATTTGATAAAAACTATGAATTGATTTAGAAAAATAATCCTTCAGCCAGTGTAAAAATGATGCAATTAAATTGCATTGTTAAAATTTAGTAGATTGCATTTTCGTCAATTTGGTTTTCATCATTCTGCTCATTTACTGGAGCTCTTTGCTTGCGTATAAGCAACCGACTTCCAAGTATATTTATAACAATAGCCAATGTTATTGTGAAAATCATTGTGAGCAGTTTAAGATGTAAAATGAGAGTTGGAGTGGTTTCTAGATAGCTGCCAATCAAAACTGGAAATATTATTGCAGTTAATCCACTGGCACAGATGAAGAAAGATCCTTGAAATAATCCACCTCAACGA